TCAGCAGGAGCAGCAATTTGAGCTGCAGTCTGCTTCAAGCGTCTGCTTCGCGGCTCATCCCTCTTTGGCAGTCCCAGCAAAACAGCGAGGGCTGCAAAGAATGGAGGAAAGCAAGGGCGGATTGAAGGACAGGGACTCCAGGAGGACAGGAGCTAGTCTGGGCCACCAACGAGCACTTAAGTAACAGTGAAATGTGAAAAACATACCACAGCCAACAAAAACCACGACTGCTCACACGGGAAACACACCACATCCTGTTGGCTATCTCCTACCTCTAACAGAGAGCCTCCCCTATTAGTAGAATCCTGCTAATCCTCCCCCTCTCCCCGCCTGTTTCCTGGACAAGGAGCAGACAATCAACCTTTTCCCCTGGCCCAGGTGAAGGATCGGCTGGTCCTGACACTCTCCACCTCCGGCACAGCTGGCTCACTTTGCCAAGGCTGCGAGGGCATCTCACTGGATTTGCTGCTGCTCTTCAAAGGCGTGATGTACTTGGGCAGCCCTTTGTAGAACCACGCACCAGACCTCTTCCAAACCTGTTGGAGATGGAGACACAACACCTTAAGCCTAGGTTTTTACAGCAAGAGAGCACAATCAGCACCAAGGAGCTCCCCACCAAGCTCGGCCCAGACGCTCCCTCTGAGCTACCTTGACCCCACTCAAACACGGGGGGGTTCAAGCCTTCCAGCTCACAGAGCCCAACGGCTCCCCTGTGCTCTGCAACTACTACAGCATCCCAAATTCCTCCCCACACTGTCAGCCCAGCTTCACCTTGGTCCTTCTTCCACCACTAAAAAAAAAAAAAAAAAAAATCACAAATTTGAAAAAGCAACAAGCACAGACTGAAGGAGGAGCAGAGGGTGATCATGCAAACCACAGAGCTTCTTATGTTCTCTGGGACAAGACCAGATGTTTCTCTGATGCTGTGCTTGAGACAAACACATGTTCCCAGGCTTACTACAAGGATATGGGGATGAAGTTCCCTGGCCTGCACTAAGCAGCGGGCAGTTCAGATTCTGCATCTGTTGCTTTCCCACTGGGAATCCACAAAAAGAAAAGCTTCCCAGAGGAAGCAGGCATGTGCTGTGGGTGGCAATAGCCCCAAGCACATGCTTTGCTTAGAGTAAAACCAGCCTTGCACTGGCTGGAGGGGTAGCAAGTCCTGACAAGTATCTCCTCCCGGGCCGAGTCCCTCAGCATGGGTCGCTTTACTTCTGAGAGAGTCAAAGACCGACAGCAGCTGGGGGATGCAAGCGGCAATGCCAGGACAGCAGAAACACTGCCTCGTGCCGTACCGAAGGGCACAACCGCGGCATTCATTTCACAGAGCAATTCATGCCAAGCCAGATCATTTAACAAATGTGCTTGAAAACCCCAGAACGAGAAGAACGACACTCAAATAACCCGAACCTGCAGCAGGAAACGGACTGCGAGTGCTAAACTGTAATATCTCCTGTAAGAACACCCTCTACTCTCCAATTTAGTTTTAATGCAGCTTATGATGAAGGAGCTCTATTAAGTATATTTAATATAAAGCCTGCTGTGAGCCAGAGGAAGGGAAAGGATGGCAGCTGAGACAAGGAGAAATGGCCTCGAAAAACCTAATTCTTTTGTGCCTTCCAGCAGTCTAATAATGAGCTAATGAGACGGTCAGGGCAAAAATAAGTTAATATAGTAAAAACATTATTTTCTATTTCATGCAAGGGGGTAGAAATCCTGCACTTCTGTTCAGAGTAAAGGAGATCATCAGTGCTTCTAACTCCAAGTTTCCAAAGCATTCTGCATATAGAATCACCATGATGGCAATGGGTGCAAATGCAGATATCCCTAATTACAGCAATATGTTTGCAATTTGCATTTAGGGCTTAATCAAAGCAGAGGGCAGTAACAACACCTGGCACTCATGAGAGGTTCCTCTCATGCAGGCACAAAAAGCAGGACACCACCATCACCATTTCACTGATGGGAGGAGATTGCTCAGCAGGTTGCCCAGTTCCTAGTCCAGAGACATCAGCACAGAGAGCTAAAATCTCTGCATTTGGGGTCTTGAAAGCCAAGTGAAGGTGATCTAAATTCAGAGGGGAACCGGAGAGTATGCTTTTTAGAAGAAGAGTACCCAGCAGAAGAAAGCAGAGCATCGCTGTGACCCAGCACACGTATCAGTTACTGTAAGAGTGCAAGAGAGAAGCTCACCTGCACCACAGCAGGATGTAGAAACCAGAAGGTGAGAGCACCCTGCAATTACACCAACATTTTCCTTCTGGGTAACAGCCTAGCGCGACAGTGAGTCTGCCATCCAAGTGAAAAGCTGGGAAGCCAGTTCCCTGAAGGAGAGAAGACTGCAAGTTCTTCTTCTACAGAGGGGGCCTTGGCAGGCAGGCCACTTTACCAGCTCCTTCACCAGCATGCAAACAGGCAAAACAGTGACCCAGCCAGTGAAGGCACAAGCTGACACAGCTCCTTCTGTCCCCTCTGCCAGCACGTCGGGACTGCGCAGCATTTGGTACAGCTTGTACAACAGCACTCATCAGTGCAGCACAGAAACCCTGGAGGAACGTGCTCTGCTATCCCCGCAAAACCAAGAATCAGGAAATGCAGTATGTCTTTTAAGTCTGGGACAGGTGTCTCTACATGGAGCGTAGTCCACTGTAACTCAGGTAAACATACACGATGCAGGAGCTGCAGGCTGGACAAGCCCTGGTCTCCCGTGTCTCAGGAAGGCAGGAGGCCTGGGGCGCAGCTGCACGCAGAGGACACAGCGGGCAGAACAGGGACTGCTGCGGCCACGGGGTTTGCACCCCAACCAGCGCCATGGCTTGAGGAGGGCAGGTTGTCCGTCCCCTGCCACGCACTGGGTAGCTGGGGCACACGTTGCTTCCCTGCACAAACTACCAGGGAGGAAGCAACCCTTTCTTACAATCATTTTCTGAACAGACCTTGCAACATCTGTAATTTAATTTGAAGCACTGAAGAGACCTATTATCTTCAGGCGAACTACAATTTAGGCACACCATAAAACCAATCAGACACAGCAAGGATTGCTGTAAGAAAAGGCTGGTCACCCCCAGGTTTCTCACTACCCCAAAGCAAGTCCAGTTATAGAAAGAGTTAATGATATAATACACCCAGCTCTGATGTAGCAATACTAGTATAAAATTGATTCTATGCATACATATTCACTTTAAATTAGTGCTTCTAATAGAGTTTGGTCTCATTACACCAGTACTGAGATTATTTTGAAATCAGCTCTGAAATAGCTGCAGCAAGATGCTCCCCCCTATATTAATTTAGTACCTCTGCTTCCCCCGCCAGGTTAGCAGCATGCCCCATCCAAAATGACCGCAGTTCACGTTCAGTTCTGCACATGGGCATACAGGTTAGTTTTAGCATCCATGCATCAAAACAAATCGATGTTGCTGACTGCTATTGATGGTAGCTTCACTGAACGCAAGAGTGGCCTGACAGCAAAGTTCTCACTTGATTTTAAATTAATAAATCTATAATAGTGCTTCGAGAAGAAAACTCCTGTTTATTAGCAGGAGTTTGCTCTTTCTAAGGAGGAGAGAGTTTTGCTCCCACCAGTCCCATTGGCACACAAGGTGAAAACCAGCCCGCACAGCAGCCTGAGTTTGGGTGGAGCTGGAATTTCATCAGCGAAGGGGACAGCCAGCCCTTTCCAGTCCCTTGCAACAACTCAGTTTTAAGTAACATTGATCATTCCTTGCTCTGAGTGCTTGACAGAGGGGAGTAAAGATCGGTATCTGCATTACCCCAGATCAGGATGTGGTGGCCCGGCGTGTGGCTCAGGACAAAGCAGCCACACCATGGGTCACCGGCTGGGGCCGGTCCCTCACCGGCTGCAGCTGTCCCCAGCCCGCCGTGCTCAGACTGGCCCAGCCAGACACAACCAAAATCCACACTGAATATTGAATTCCTTCAGGCTCCTGTCCTTCTGCCTCCCCTGACACCTAAACTACCCTAAAGCAATGTGGGGGAGGACACGGGGGAGAAGAGCTACTTCAGCAACAGGCTTTTTTTTTTATTATTATTATTACTTCAAACCAATTTAAACAGCCATGGCCATGACAAGTCCAGAGAGCTCAATGCTTTTTATAACCCTGATAATACTCCTATTAAAGTTGCATCAAGCCATCATTATAGCTACAGGATGAGACAATCAGAAGCAGATGCATACTTTTATCTAGCACATTCAACTGCAGCCTGTAAATTGGACCTAAAGGAGAATCACTGGGCCCTGGTGAAATGCATGTTACTGCTCAAACTTCTCCCTCCTCCTTCTCTGAACATACAAGTGCTAAAACAAGCTCCTAAACAGAGAAAACATTAGGACCTGCTGACCAAGGGACAGGGTCACAGCTGAAGGCATCATAACAAGAGTTTTCTTCACCAAGCCACGAGTCCCCCAAACAGAGTTGCCTAGAAAGGCTTTTCACTGCAAAGCCGTGTTTTACTCTACCACCTACTGCCTGCCACACAGTAGCTGTTCTCATTCTGCAGCCCCCTTCCTTCGCAGCAGCCCGGGCTGGGCCAGAGGAAAACAGCTACCCTTAGCTTCCCATGCTGATAGCAGCATTATTGGCTCAATCCCCCAGCAGCCGAAAGGCGGGGGAAAAAAAGGCTCTCCTGGGCTACAATGCTTAATGAAGAGAAAGGCACCTGCAAACGCAACCACCCTGGGAGGACTTCGTTGCCATTGCTCTCACGCAGCACATGCCCACACACTCACTTTGTCCCAGCTCTCCACCGTGGCTCTGGCATGCCGCAAACCACTGGCAGGGAGAAAGAGCAAGCACTCTTCAGCTTCGTTATTTGCATTCATCTGCTTTTCCATAACACAGAGATTTCCAATTACATTATTTACAGCAATCTGTTGTCAACTCCCACATTCAGCACTTGAGGATGAAGAAAATTAAAAGGCAGTGAAATTGCTATTCGGAGCTTTGTTTCCGGAATAGCAAAATCTATCGCACCTCTGACCCCAACGTTTCTCAAGCTGCAATGGCTGCCAGCCTTCAATGATTTATCATTCCCCTCTCAATCAGGCCTCTTTTTTTCCTGTGGCTCTATTCTAGAGGACACTATTTTGAGTCTAACCACTTGCTACCACCCCCCAAAATAATATGGCAGGCTATTGATGAGTTCTTTGAATTGCAAACAGGTGCACATCACTTCAATTCAATCCAGAGTCACCCAAAATAAACACTCCCCTCCATCAGCATGGTACATTGCCAAGAAATCATCATGTCAGGCAGGAAGAACCCCAGGCTATGTTGGTTTATAATGTTCAAAACGGTATGAGTGTACATGTGAAAAGGGAAGCCCTGGGGGCAAAACAGGAGGAGACAACTCTGCTCTTCCAGCGCAGTGATCCTCTTCCTCTGCATGGTTTATTGTGATAAACCAAAAAATGCAGCCAGCCATGAAAATGCCATTTAGCAAAGGAGAAGAAATTAAAGGGAAAGTGAAGCAGAGGGGGCAAATTAAAACTTTAGCAGGTCCACAATAGCTGACGCTCTCTTTCGTATTCAATGGGGTTTAAAAAAAGCTATCTCCCCCCACCCTACTTAAACTGTTTTCATTATCGCTACAATTTTGGATGTGTCAATTCAAATGTAAATGTGCACAAACGCTTCCAAGAGGATTTTAATTACGACGATAGCATCGCTAATTATGGATATTAAAAAAAAATATACATAAAGCGGTAGTTCAGGAAGGTGCTTTGCAGAACCTGGTGGTATCAGTCAGAACACGGCTGTGCAGAGAGTTAAATGACTGGGCAGGGATTTGACAAAACACAGCAGGTCCCATTTCCCCTTCAAGCCAGGAGGTGACAGGCAGACTTCAGCCACACACGACTAATTCAACATGGGCACTGCTGCCCAAGCTATTACGAAGCTCACGTGCTCTGCCAGAGGCCTGGCAGCAGGGAATCATTCCAGCTGTATCGCAGCTCCTCCCAGGCAGTTTTGCTCCCCTGACAGCTGCTGAAATAAGCCTGTTTTGCTGGAGGACTTGCTCCCTTTCTGCCCTGCACTCTCATTCCCGTGGGTGCATCACTGCCTCACTGCCAAGGTAGCAAACAGGCTCGCTGCAAACCCGTGGCCAGTGCTTGCCACAGTCAGGGATCGTGCCATGAGACTTCATACGCATGCAGAAACAGGACTGCCCCGAGGAGGATCAGCCCTTCACGCTCAGTCTCCAGAAAGGCAATGCAAGATGCAAAGACAAGAAAGGCAGTGCAGCACATCGAGGAGGGAAGAAGGAAGGGAGATTCTTGCCTTCGAAAGTGAATGTCAGCTTGACTGAATTTGCTTCTACCCTTGCTTGCAGGAGCAATGAAACACAATCCACACCAGCTTTAATTCCATTGCCCTCAGAAGACATTGCAAAGGAAAATGTCCACAGAAGCCTGGAAGAACAAAAGGGGGGTTTCAACAGATGCTTCTGCAAACAGCTGGGACAAGTGGTATCTCCAACAGGCCAGTTCTGGCCTAAAGCACACAAGGTCTGTCTTATTTCAGGAAGAAGAGATGCACTTATGACACAGGGGTGTCTGCTGGTCCTCGGGGATGTTCTCTTTGCCAGGAGGAACATCCAGGCTCTGTCAGGTCCCAGCCGCGTGAGAACACAGTATTTTCCTCCCTGCGCCTCTCTGGCGGCTCGGAGCCCCTCACCCTGCATGTACACATCGAGCTTGGCAGCTCAAGTGCTGCCATACATGCCAATTTGCTTCTGGATGATTGGGACGCAAGCAGAATCCATCAATCACCTCCACTCTCCAGAAATAAGACAGTGTCAGAGAAACTTGTTCCTCATTGCTACACAGCACAGCCTTCCCAGTGGAGGTTTTTGGAAGAAACAGGAAGCAGCAAAGAACATTCCTGAATGGCTGAGGCTGGCATTCCCAAAGGGATCTATGGGCATGAAGCATTCGACTCCAGCTGAAAATCTGATGTAAACAATAGCTTGTTACATTGGTCTTCATTTTGACCCAGGCATACTGACGATTTAATCATAACTAAAGCCAGCACAGATTCTGCCCACACAGCAGAAGGGGGAAGACGACTACTATGCTTCACTAAACTTACCCTAGCTTAGATCAAGCCTACAGGGATAAATAATAACAAGGAAGACAGAGGGATGAGAGCTTTAGCGTGTATGACCAATGCTGCACACTTTAGCTGTTAGCTGGTATACGTGAACATCCAACCCCACCATCCTGGCTTGACATCCTGGTAGGCCGCAAGACTCACGTGCTCACTCAGTGCGTGGCAGAGGCTAACGGGGACAATTATAGTCCTAGGCTCTTGTCCCAGCCAGATGACACTTATTAACTCTAGCCAACATCATTTAGCCCATCCAGGTTTCCGAATGACCTCCCTTTCTCACTTCAGTCCCTGACAGTCTCTCACTAACAGAGTTGAGAGCTTCATAAATATCATGCCCAAATAACTTGAGCAGTGGTTCAGAAAATTACAGACAGCGATCAAAGCGCTGATGTGGAGGGAATCACCTAGCTTGGAAACACCACATCTTGTCACACCTGCTGGGGGGGGAGGGCACTCTGGACCAGCATCAAACACTCACCCACTAGAGCTGACCAAGTTTAGGGGCCTGAGCATGGCCCGACAACTTGGGAGGTGTTGCCAGAGCTCTGCGGCCGTTGGCGTGGACTAAAGAAGAACTTTGCTCAGTCACGTTGTGCATTGAGAAGGGGAGAGAAGGGTGGTATTGGCTTGTTACTGTCACACAACCTGAAGTGCTTCGGTGGGTTCCTGCAGCTCCCTGCCTGGATCCCAGGAAATAAAATGGGGCTGATACCTACTCACCATGCAGGGGATTCAGAGGTTAGACAGAAACAAGAATATCTGGTCCCAAAGAGCAGACATCCACCTGCACTCATTGATAGCAAATATAACCTTCAGCAAAGCGCATGACCAAAGGGGTTTGGTCCAAAGCAGATGGCCATACAAGACAGATCCAGATCACAGAAACAGATGGTAACAAGGAACTGGTTGTGAACACAAGTCTTTAAAAGAAACCTGGTAATTTAGTGCATGCCCTGTAATATCAAGACGCCTGAACCAGCTTCAGGGACTGCACTAGTACCAGCCAAACAGCCTGAGGCCTAAGAGTCTTATCTCTTCCTTGCACAGACTCTTAGGGAAGACCTGATCAAAGTCACTTTTCAGGCATTTATTCCGATATTGCCTCAACTTCCCTGCCCTGTCTGACACGCCTCAAGGCTTCTGCTAATTCTCAATGCTTCCCTGCCTTCCCCCAAAATAAAAGCAGAGCATGTGGGAAGACAGAGGGGATGTATGACTTGATGCCTGACTGCGTGTCCACACTGTGATCCTTCCAACCTTCTCTTAGTCAGGGCACCAGCACCACCACAAACAAGAAAGGAGACAGACCTGAACCGACCTTAAAGAGAATAAAAAAAAATAAAGATGAAGCTTAGGTTTGGGAGGTAGGATGAGGCTAATTTTTTTAGTTAGTCTAAGAGTTCCATCCATTTTGATTAGGGAAGCACTTCGGCCATATCTCAGGTTTCACGGAGAGAGTGAACTCTGAAGGTGACCGTACTCTCATACGCCGGTGGCACATAACACTGACTGGACAGGTTAATATTCTTCTCTGTCCAGTGACCACAGCTCCTCATTATTTTTATAATAAATAGGAAAAATAAACCAATTATATAGTGGGGGATGAGGAAAAAAAATACAGAAAGAACAGGAAAAAAAGAAGTAAAAGCCAATTTTAGTCCCATACCCATCTCCCTGCAGAACGCACAAAATATCTTGACCTGCCTCACTCTCCATTTTGGGACCTCCATGTGGAATTCAAAACATCTGGATGATTCAGTGCATCACATTATTAGCAATATCCAGGGAGCTGAAATGCTCTCTGCCTGCCCTACCCGTAACCACACTGCTACTCAAAAGTTAAAGGCCAGCAGCGTCCATGTCCCCCTCATCTTACCTGAACACGAACTTTGTGAGTGCTCCCACACAGACAATCCCCTCCTATGTAAAACCTAAGCAATGCTAAGTTTCCGCAACTGGTATAAAAAAATTTCAGCATCTCAAACACCTGCACAAATGCTCTCACTACACTTCAAAAAATGATTTAGCAGAGCACCCAGGTTTCACAGTTGGTTACAGTGGTCAGAAATAGCTGCACTGGATTGATGTTCAAGGACCACAAGCAAAAGCTCAAAATAAATTGATGGGAACAAGTGAAAATCCTTCTGTAATCACAGAACAGATTCTCTGACTGCACTTCACTCTAGAGCAGCGAGCCCTCATGTTGGTGGATGCTGGCTGGCAGACAAGAATTGAGGCAGGCCATTACTTTTTGCAGTGTAAAGTCAAGGATGAAGGATATAAAAATTTAGAGATCTACATTAGAAGTCTCACACACTGGCAAGTTATGGGATTTTGCAGGCAGGAAGGAAAACGGACTTAAAAGCTGCAATCCTAGTTATTTTTAGAGGGACAAATATTGCAGCTATGCCATAGATCTCTCCAGCTGTATTAAAGAACCAGCATTAGCCAAGTTTATTTGTCATAGAACTAGGAGGGAGAGTGCAGTAGCAAAAGGTAAGTCTCTTCATGACCATAGCTAGAAAAATTCCACAAAGCCATACAGGCTGCAGGGGCTGGTGTGGGTTTTTTCCCTCCACCCCCTCATAAGCCAAAGTTGTCACCATTGTGTGTATTCATCGAGACTGCCTGGCCTCCAGCCAAACCTCCCAAACCCCATCCCAAGCTTCCCTCCCAGTGCCCAAGCACAGGGAAGAGCTCACGCACACTCAGCACCAACTTGGGGCAGGTAGGTGTATGCTGCTGAGCCCCATCTCTCCACAGCTGCATTTTACCTCTCTCTGTTCACTGCAGATCTTGCACAACCAAAGAGGACGTTTCTGGGTTCCAAAGGTTTCTATTCCGCACTTGGTGCAAACTTTCTGAAACAAGGAGAGAGGAAAAAAAGGTAAAAAAAGGTGGTGTTAGCACCCCACAGCCATATAGCACCTTGGGAGAGAGAAGGTCGAGAAGCATCTGTCCCAACAGTTCTGTTTTCCTTTCCTTAAAAATCTAGATAGGGCACAATTTTCTTATTTATTGTGGAGAACCACTCATCACAGGAAGCTACTTCAGGTCTATATGGGCACGAGACAAAGGCAAATCTACAGCACAGTCCTTGACTGCAGGTTGACAAGAGAACTGGACAGGGTAAATCAAACTCCATCACCAATAGGCATATTTCTAGAGCAGTTTTTTTTTTTATTCTACTAAATCCTAAAACCCAAGCACTGTGGCATGGAAAGCAGCTGTAACCAAGTACAAAACAAGCACGAGTTTGTGCAAGACTGGAAATCCTCTCCTCCCTTCCCTCACATGGGAAACCCCATGGCTTCCCCTCCATTTCAGCAAGCACTCGGCAGCTATTGATTTGTGGCTGCTTAGGAAGCGGGCACGACCGTGTCTACACGCACATTTCCTGAGCAGAAAGCCTGCTAGCACCAGACGGCCTCTATTGCTGCACAAGGGAACTTTCATGTCTCCGCTGGCATTACAAGCCATTTACAACCTGAATCACCTAATATTATATAATGAAGCTGATGTGTATCAGGCTTGGCTTACAGCTTGAATGAGAAATTGGATGAATTCTTTGATCCTCACAGAGCAAAAGCCACTCACCAGAGCCCTCTTAAGAGCAAAACCTTGCTTAGAGACATGTGAATTTAATCTCCCCAGCTAAGGTTTTACATATCCCCCTAACCAGGCTGCTCCTCCTCTGAGCCAGGAGGTCTGTGTCCAGGGACGAAAGTCTCAGTGGCTCACTCGGCCCTCAGTGCCCACGCCTGGAGGAGGAGAGCGGCAGAACGATGGTACCCGAGGCAATGGCTTCATCGCATGAATAAACGCACCCAACTATTTTAGTCAGCACAGTGCAGAGGCAGGTCTGTCCCTGACTCAGGCTGCACAGAGAGTGGGAGGTGGTACCAGCAGCCCCACAGAGGTTGGTGCTCCTCTCCACCTCTCTGTTCCTGTCCTCGCCCTCATCCTCCCACAGAAATAAGGAACAACCTCTTGGGTCTGGTGCATCAACATGGTGCTACCCAAGCCAAAAGGGATTCCGGATGCAATTAACAGACACCACCTGAGCTACGCCAAATTCTCCCTCCCTCAAACAAAAATCTGAGGGATCAACTCAGTCTTAAATACCCTCAAAGATCCCAATCCCCAAGTGTATAGCACATTCAAACACTCCCTCTAGTGGAAGTTTCCAAGTGATTTTATTCCTAGCCATAAATTTTGGAAGTTCCAACATAAAACAGGGCTTTCCTCCTCCCCTTCTCTGCAGACTAGCTGGAAAATTCAGCACCCCTCACAACCCCTCAGAAGACGACATAAAAATCAAGAACATTAAACGCAGCCCCATTTCTCATTAAATACAAGATAAAGTACTTTCTTCTCCTACTTATACTTCACCTTTTATACACGATACTGATACCCTCTGCGTGGTAAATGGCACATTATGCTTTGTCTAACCACTGCTATTGTTAACACATCTGCATTTGCATACATCTTTGTCTTGCCATGATGCATTATTTCTAAGATAATAAAAACATTAAAAATATTCTTCATAAAACAGAAAGTGGCACTTAGAAAATCCACCAGGCTACAAGAAATACAGAACCTTGATTCAGCAGAAGGGACCTGCTGAAGGTAAGTTCGTTGCTATGTTTCAGATGCATCATTACAACAATTCCTGTTACTGAATTAAACGGGTTGCAATGAGATGGCAACAGAGCAACGCTAGCAAGAAAAATATGAAATTTAAAAATCCATAATTCCCTGCCAAGTCATTGCTTATTGCATACAACACTGCACGACTGATGGATATCCCTGGAGGAGAGGGAACAAGCTTAAAGTAACAGTCCACTCTGTTGACAGGGTTGACTGTTCCCTGAGTTCACAAGATTAAAAAGCAGTAAGGGGAGAAGCCCAGGGCACCCAGTCAGCATTGCCCCGAGCTTGCACACAGCTGAAAAGTGCAGCCAAGCTGAAGACAGATGCAGAAGGCACACTGGAAAAGTAGGGTCTCAATTTACATCAACCTGGATACAAATCCTCCTGAACTGCCCAAAAGACTCCAGACAAAAAGGGAATAGCCACAGAAAAACCCATCCCTTCTCCGGGGTTTTCTGGTCAGAGCCCTCCCAAAGCCTCAGACTCACGCAGCCTCACTAGCTGGAGGGGTTACTACCTGCAACTGCAAATGGATAGGGCAGGGAAGCGTCTGTGCCAGCTTTTGCCTCCTCATTAGCGTACAAGGCTCACAGGAAAGAGGTTAGAAAGTGCTGTGGCAACGTGACCTAGCTGGCTTCGGACAAGATGAGAGCAATCGTCAAGGGAAGGAGGCAAGAATACAGCACATCCTGTTATTCCGCGTGCTTGAAATTCAGGAACAGCTAGCGCTCTCCTGTCGGCCATCCAGCCCTTTATTCTCTGCAGACACATGTGCACAGAGCCCATGCTCCTCTCCCAGACAGCTGCCCTGTAGCTCCTGTTTAAACCAGACCTTTCACTCCCCAGCACCTTACTGCTGCTTCCTTCCCCACCCCTTCCTAAAAAGCTACTTTATCCCTGGCTTAGGACCCAGGGGTTCAAAGATTTGAGGTTACTTTCCCAGTCACTGCTTTACAAGCAATAACCTGCATAACCTCTCCGCCTCAGTCAAGCTACTTCTGCAAATTGAATCCAGTGGAGAAACTCACTCGACAGCAGCAGCAGCACAGCCGACAGCAGCTCCCTGCCCAGCGAGCATGTACGGAGGGATGCTGGGACCTTGGTTCTGACTGCAAGGGGCACCCACCTCCCTTCCCTCTCTTACAAGAGCTCCAAGCCCAGCAGTGCTGTAGCCAACCGTGGACCAGTGCAGGCCCAGCCCGGCAGCCTGCTCTGCATGAGAACTGCATCTCACAAATCCAGACTGCCAGCACAAAAGGCTCTCCATTGTGGCCTGCCCAGCTGCTTAACCACAGAGGTGCCAACATGCACCACTCCACAGTAAAGGAGCAGGTTTTACTACATGCTGTCCTGTGGGCTCCACGGGACAGGGTGGGTGACATGGGCAAACGTCTCCTTGGCTCCAGGACTGACCAGGGACAGAGTCAGCACAGGCTGCTCCCTTCCACCCTACCACCAGCAAGCCAGAAACACTCCTGCACCCAGCAGGTACCCTCACCTCTCCCCAGGCAACACACTGAGGCAAAGCCACTTACAGAGGTATCTCCCCAGGGAAAGATGGGCTTCAAATGCAGGAAAAACAGCCTCCCAGCAGAGGGAGGAGAAAGTGGTTGCCTTGGAGATCATCATCTCAACAGCAATGCAGATTAACCCCTTGGCTGTAGAGTCTAGACAAGAAACAATCGTCCCCCAGGGCACTGGTAGAACTGCAGTCTCCCTGCAAACTGATGCTGCCTTTCAAACAGCACCCGTGCAGTCCTGCCAACAACATACGCAAACACGGGCAGTCATCGACGCGCAGGCTAATTTATGTATCAGGGTTGGAAACCTTACGCTGGCCTGGAACTTGAAGATGGACTGGATTCCTCTGAAGAGACACATTACTGGAAGGTCTAAGGGCAGACCTTGCAGTAATAGCAGTAAAGCACACAGACCCTTTTATGAGTTGCCTCTGATGGCCATACCTTCCTGCCCCTTCTCCCACTCTGCCAACTCCAGAGTGGGAGGTGCAGAGGGGGCTGATGCACCCCATCTCAGCACGAAGTGCAGTTTAGGCACTTCAGGATCCTGAAGAATAAGATAACCAGGGTGCAAGAGAAAACCTGATGGTCTGACCGCACCGACCTAGCCAAGTGGGGCTAAGTTAACTCTGCAGAGCTATCTAGCTTCCGAGAGGCCTAGTGGCCTTTTCTAGACAGATCTGGTACCAGGAACAGGCAGAACCTGTGTGACCAAACCCACCTTTTTGCAATCCTGACAAAAGACTGACGTGCTGCCCAGCAGCCCGAGCAGCTCACCGCAGAGCAGACACTGGGAGAGGCCGTTGCCCATCGCATTCTTCCTCATGTTCTCCAGCCGCTCCACCAGACGCCTGCGGGGAATGAGGCAGAGCAGGGGTCACAGCACTCACCTTGGAAATTGGGACATGGTACTGAGGCATGCCAAAAACCTGCAGACATGTGCTGCAGACTCAGCCTACATTTGCTGCTTCTGTGCAGTTCTGGGCCCCTTGCTGGGACCATATGTACTTTCGCTTCAGTCTCTGCACTCAGTATTTCCCATCAGGTGGCTCTTGGATGATACAAACCTCTGTAAACCCATCTACTGATGCTCAGCAAGCCCAGAATAATCAAAACTGCAGCTACCACTGACAGGTCTGACTCAGCTAGCGAGTGCAGCACAGACAGTTCACAAGAGGGGCCTGGTCCTTTTAGGAGCTCAGTGTCAGAGGCCCCACAGTCTCAGCACAATGATTTCCTGCCTGTAGAGCAGGAAAAGCATTTAATGCTCAGATCAGGACAAGTCAGACAGCACCGGGAAAGGGCAGAGGAGTTAGACCTACCAAGCCCTGCTCCATTCTTACATACGCTCCCTGAAAGCAGCAGTGTGGGCATATCACTTGCTCACATCCCATTCGAACCAGCAAAGCCAGACTGAAGCCATCAGACCAAAATGTGAATGCCAGTAACTGCTCCCTGCTTCATTCGACAGACTGCTTGGAAGACAGGAAGCACATATGTACACACAATGTCCGTAGCAGCAGGACTATGAAAGGGAAGGAAGGCAGGATAAGCAATTAGGATGCAGGATGTAGAGAGCATGCAGAGCAAGGCTGCTGTCACGAGATCACCACTTGGCAATTCTCAGGCATCCATTTGTAGATGGGGACAATAACAGCCAGGCCATTTATCAGAGGCAGTGACCAGCCACAGCCACGCGCATGCATGCGGCCCAGGGAGGAACTGCAATCCTGCTGTCCATGCACCCCCATTCTCATTAGCGCTAATGTCCCATCAACCAAGTCCCGCACTGAGAGGAAGGCAAGGTCTGTTTGAAAGAGGTACTGCCTATGGTGATGAGGTCAGAGCACACATTCAGGCTGAACCATCATTACTGGATTTATGATCCTTGACTTCAGCACAAGAGAACTCCCAGGAGTTAACAAAGGCATTTCAGAGAATGCTTCTGCTTTCTGCAAGCTACACCAACAACTGCACAGGAACGATCGGCCCCTCAGGATCGCTGGCTGCTTCTGGGGCTGCTCCCATATATCACACAAACATCACTGTCAGTTCTCGTTAGCACTCACTAACATGCACAGCACAGGGACAGAGCGAAGCACAGGGACAGGAGCCTGGGCCTGCTGGACACGGGCTGGGAGTCACTGGGGTGTCCTGTCTCGCGAGCACGAAACACCGGTGGGAAATGCTGCAGGACTGCTGAAGTCCCCAGCTTTAAAGGCAGTCAGCGTAGGATGTCCACAGACACAGCTGAGGCCAGACCTCCAGCAGGAGCGAAAGCAAATGGAAATCTGCAGCAGCAAAAGGATGCCCATAAATTAAATAACTCAAGCGAGCAAACCCCTTCCAGAGGGCTCAGCCACCTAGAACATAAACTCATTCACTGCTCCAGGCAAAATCCCAGGGGCTGCTGCAGACAAGGGAAAACCTAACTGTGCTGCCAGCAGCAGTTTCTGAACCATGCCATCCACCAGCAGTGGGTGCAGCTGCACAGCTCGGCATCTTCCCCAGCCTCACCCAGAGGCACTGGGGCAGCTGCCTTAGCGCAGGCCGCCTTTGCCAGGGACTCTGTCAGTAGCTGCAACCACAGCAAGCCCCAAGGCTCAACGAAGGCACAGGAAAGGCTTGAGACATGGGGAGAAGGAAAACATCACATCCTTCCCAATGTTCACCACCTCCAAACGAGCAACATGGGAGGGGAAAATAAGGGACCTAAGGGGTGCTCTGACTGATGGAGGCTGAGCTCAGGCAGTCAGGAGAGCCACGCTGTCTGCACTGACCTTTCCTTCTGAGGGAAGGGGACAAATGAACGTGACTGTACCCAATGCGCTGCTGCTCGATGATGTCCAATTTCTCCGCCTTACGGATGACTTCCAGAATGACCTCAAGTTCCTGCGGGCTCAGAGCCTGCATCTTCCTCTGCTTCTCAGTCTGAAACGTGTGCACCGACCAGCCCGTCTGGAGCCTGTAGGAGGGGGTGGAGGGAAGAATTAAGCTGCGAAAGCACAAAACCCCTGACCTGCCCCACAGGCCAAACCTGCCAGGCACACAGAGCCTGCGTCAGCCTTCCATCAGACAAGTCTGTTCCCTGGCTAATGCCCAAAGCGGGAGTCTCTTCTCACTGACCAGATCACGACGTCACTCCTCTAGCAGCACCGAGCACTGCGCTGCCTCTCCCTGCCCTCTCATTTCCCTTTCTGCTCCAGTTTGTATTTTACCACTCCATGTCCTCACTCCTGTTTGACTCCGCCCATAAAGAAAACCAGCACACCTAGGGCTGGCTATGGGGGTACCCTTGCAGAGGTGGGTACCGATGCCAAACACCACAAATGCCAACAGCAGACTCCAGAACGCAGGGATTACCTGTGCCCTCCTCCCTCCAGATCACACATTTCTAAGGTCCTCAGTTCAAACACACAAATCACCAGACTCGCCTGGAAATATAAATTTGGCAACTTCCTCCCTTGGTCTAACCCAGGCCTGCACAAGGACTTTAGCAAGCCACTTCCCTCCCTGCCTCACATACAGCAGCTGAGATTTCTCCTTAGCTCACTTGGGGACAGGTGGGAGCTTTCACAGCTCAATTAATTACCATTCAGTAGCAGTTTAGAGGTCACTGGATAAAGTCAGGGCTGCTGGCAGAATGCAGGGCACTATCAGACACAGCTGTTTTAATGAGGCTTTCGGGTGAAGGCTGGAGAAGCAGCAGTGGCATGCACAGTTCACACTCAGGCAGTCCCCTCAGACACGGGGTCACCTCCTGTTCTCTAACACTCTGCAGCAGGCTGACCCCAGAGGTTCAGACAAGAGTGGCAGTGGCGTGGTACTGGCTGCCAGAGAAGGAAAGCATCCAAGAAACAAATGCAATTCTGGTGCTTGACTCATCTCCATCCCTTTTGTCTTTAGGTTATGCAGTAATTTAACTTCAGGGGAAAATGAGATCAAATGACAAGTTCCTAAAACAAAAGAGCACTGGCAGCTGGGGGATGCTATCAATTATATTTAGGGTGCTGCAGAGATACGAGCCTGCCTCCAAGCCCTTTCTTTCACCCAGGGGAGGGCTGGTGGGACGGACTCCCACCACACACCAGCCGTGCTGCAAACTCCACTGCAGGCAGGCAGCAGCCAAGCACCGAGGCCCAGGTTAGCAGGCTCCTGTCCCAGCCAAGCAGCACGCTTCTGGGGCACACAGGGGTCTGCGTGACCGGCAAACTCCTGCCTCCCAACCAGGCTGTGGATGAGGCCAGTGCTCCACACAGATACCGGGAAACCATTCAGTCCGGAGCGGAGGCTGGAAGGAGAAGAGGGAGCGGTGAGGACTCACTTGGCACGTAGTGCCAGCTGCCGGTCATTGGGGCACACCCACTGGCCTGTCCCACTGCCAAAAATCGTGTCGGCCATGGCACCAGGCTGGGCAGGAGAGGCAGGGATCCCACCTGTGAGAAGCAAACACCAGCACTGAGCAGAGCTGCCACCCCACCCTCAAGAAAGCACAGGGCAGTGCCTGGCACAGCCTTATTAACCGTGCCAAAGGGCCGCTCTTCTGGCAAGCAAAACAGAGGTGATCTGCTGGCGTCACACGCAGTGGAAGTAGACAGACTGTCACCCACAGACAGCAATAAAAACATACCATCATCCTCATAAAATATAAGCCAATAAATACCTTGAAATATCTTGAAGACAAGGCTGGAAGTTTAGATTTGATGGTACTCTGAAAAAAAGCCAGAGACTCTTTGTCAGTTGTGATTTTTCATTTCAAACTAGACAAAAGCGTTGTTTGTAAGAATAATCTCTGCCCCGCCACCTCTAGAGCCCCAATGCTGCAGTACTGACAGAGAAAGCCACTCTAAAGGACACAAAGAAGCTACAGTGCTTTTTTTTTTTTACCTCTTAATGGGGTAACAAACAAAAACCCACACGACAATCAGCATGAATAGTGGCAAGTCATTTCGTTCATTAAAACTGCCTCCATAATAGCCTGATATTTATAACTACAGCCTACAATAGCAGCTTGTTTGCATTCTCTGATGTTTAAGACAGCACCTCTTGCAGCAGATCTCCCACTGCGGCTCCTGTAACCAGCATGGTCACACCAGCGGTTCCTTGTGTTCAATGACAATTCCGCTGTGAACGGATCAGGAAAGGCAGCAAGAGCCAACTTCCACGCACTCATGGGAGAAACACATCCCCAAAAGGGACTTTGCAGCTAAGCAGTTCTGAGTCCTACCAGCAGCTCAGATGAACGGGAAGCACCAAGGGACAGACAAAGCCAAAAGATTTCCATGGAGGCGAAACTAGTCTTGCAGTACCGAGCTTTTCTCCAGCTGGATTTGCTCTCCAGCAGAGCAAGCGTCCCACAAGACCTGATGCATAAATTTCCAGGTATTAATACTTACCTTCCCCAGAACAGACACTTGCCAGCTTTGAAACCATACCTGCTGGGCAGAGATAACATGGTTAATGCTGTTTGGCAAACACAAATCAGATACTATAGCAGGCAAGGCATATCACCTGCCAACTGTGCAGTAGTTCCCAGGAAAAGACATGTTCCAGCCTCAATCCACAGCACACTTACCCCAGCAGTGCCCGTAGTTCAGTGCGCTGCACCTCCGCTTGCTATCTACTGCTGACACAGAACTTTCTGCCTCTGTGCCAGGCACACAAGGCATCACAGGCTGCACGGCCTTGGCCCTCTCACACAGGCAGGCACGTAGCTTGCGCGGATCAATCTCTCTCTCCCTACGCTGAGCTCACATGTGCCACACACACCACGCTCACCCCCCGCCACAGAAACACTAACCCGTGTTACAGAACTGACAGCTATCTCCTGCCAAACCCCACGTCAGCCTTGAGAGCCAAAATGGTCACGAACAATGCACCAGTTCCCTCCTCTCTGACCATCCAATTTCTGGAGAGAGTCTGAAAACTCAGCACTTACAACAGGCAGGAGAGAAGAGGAGGAATTCCACACGAAGCACAGATTTCTTTCAGTGCAAGGGGACAGATGTATAAAAAGGGTGAAGGCTCTAACAATCCAGCATAATGCTCAGCAGAACAGTCCGACCGTACAGCAAAGTGAGGCATGGAGGAGATGGGAGGCTGCAGGAAAGGTTTGGCAGAGAAAGAGGGTTGAGACAGCAAGGACAGACAGAAGTGTCGCATGCAATTTTTTAAACCTTTACTACATTACTTAAGGTGATCACTTTTGAAAGGGATCATCCCTAGAAGAAATCCTTGAACCCTGGCATCTTCAATTTACCAACTACTTTCCCTGCTCTGCTCAGTGCCACGCACACTGTGGGTTTGCGTTTCCATTTTGTCCCAGAACACCTCCTGCTCTTTTCATCTTCTTCATGATTTCAAGCAAGGAGAGAACGCAGTCCCCGCACACGTCCCACAGCAGCTCACACACAGGGGAGAAATCAAGCATTAACAGCGAAAGAATACGGAGGCTCCCGCCCCCAGGCCAGTGTTAAAAGCAGAGAGACGCTACAATTTCACACAGAACGACTGACCTGGGAATTTTCCAGGTATTTTCCAAGCCTGTGATGTGTTGTTACAGGATTATATACACATGTACCCACACACACAAATGCATATATTAAATTACTCTTCAGATACACCACATACTCTTCCCTCCCACTCACGCACACCTGAAGAACAGCACAGCCCACACACTCAATGTCCACCGGCGAGGCTGAACGCACACAACCATCCCAACACGACCAGCGCTTGGCAGCTGTGGGATGTTTAGCACAAAAGCCAGAGCTGGAGATGAGCCCCACACCATGGTCAGGGCAGAGGAGTTTGCTTTTGCCAGCAGCTGTGCTTTCAGGGGGGAAAGCAGTGCTGAATACATCTGCCGCTCCTCTGCAGAGCTTTATCTGCTCTAACAGAGCTGAATGCGAGTCAGAATAGAGCACGAGCTAAGCATTTTTCTCAGGAGAGACCTAAACGCATTCTCCAGCCCCATACCATAGCGCACTTTGCTCAGCATGACTGAACAAAAACAAGCAACATCATGCTCTTTCGCCTCTTGTTACTCAGCATACGTTTTGTTCGCCACCATTCCCTGAGCAGCATCTACAAGGAGAGAAGGAAAACAAAACACAGCCCAGAGATCCATCGCATCCCAAGACAGTCTTCAGATAGATTATTCCCTAAAATATTTACAGGAGCATTTTCTTTTGGCAGCATTGGGTATCTGCTGCTCCCTCTGATGTAAACTGGCATTGCAGGTGGCTTTGCACCTTGGCCTCCAAAAAAAGCCCGGTGTGGTTTGACACAACTACCTTGTAGAAGGAAACAAGGACATGGGACTGCAGGCCACAGTCTGCTGGGGCAGAAAGAGGAGCACTAGCAGGACTGGAGGGAAAGGAATATCTTGCATGGCCACAGGAACGATGCCAGAGAAATGGTACCAGTATCTGGAAGGCGTGAAGCATCCTCCCTCTTATCTCTGTACAGGACAAGAAGTACAGTGGAATCAGCCTAATCAGAAACACTAAGATAGCAAAACCACACCAGCCAGGGGAGTCATTTCTACAGGCTGTGGTGAAACAGCCCTCTCTTGCAGCCAGCCTCTACTGTTGACCCAAAAATGCTCCAGTTAGCACCTACCTCACGCAGCCAGCCTCTCCCTGTTCTCTGCTCCTCTCAACAAGCAAACGAAGAGCAGAAGTAGACAGTCTCTAGCAGTGAGAGAGCAAATGAAATCCACAGCTTTTGGCCCTGCTGCAAGTACACTGGATACAGAACAAAGGGGAAGCACAAGTACCTAATGTAAAGAAAAAAAACTTCCCACTCCCAAGAGCCTGCTTTTTACTTGAATTAAGAATTAAAAGGGAGCTCTTATCAATACTCTATGACCTGCTTTAAAAACCCTCCACTTGTTTGTTCCTTTCCTATGATGGAGGAAGTCATGTGAAACAAAACCTCATTAAATCTGAGTTCAGCTGGCTGCCCTTGGCACAGCAGCTAAGGGGAGCACTGCAAGGAAGGAGTGCTGCCCCGCAGAGAGCCAACCCTCTGCACAGGGCCAGGAGCATTTCAGAGGATGCACAACTGAGCACATCTCTGCCTGCAGCGCTGTGGTAGCACTGCTTCTGCTGTCTCCATGATGAGACTTGCGCTCTGCAGCCAGAGAACGTGACTTTAGTCTGTGAGGGAAAAATCTTCAGGTGGGGTCTGAGTGAAGGGAACAGCAGCAGGGCCATGCTGCTGACTTGGACCCACATCCCTGCGGAGCGACCACGAGAGAGCAAAGCCAGCGGGATCTTTCCCACCGGACAGTTCCCATTTCTTGGCCTGGAGGGTGAAGGTGGGCTGCAGGCGGCTGTGGGGCAGCACGTCCCCCAGGCACAGGCTGGGGAGAGGCGAGTGCCCTTCCACGCCACCCCACCAAGCCACACAGCCATGGATCCTGCAGGAAGCTCACCTTCCCAAAGCAGCAGCAGAACAGTAGTGGGAGGTGTTTCTGCACGTACTCCTGATCTGCCTTCCAATAACCAACATGTTCGGTACCAACTACAAATGGTAGCCGCAATGGGAGAAAGTTGCTGCATGGGCACGTGCCAGAACTACCCTGGCTGATGGCAGTATGCAGACACAGCCCTCTGACGTGACACTCTTCAAAGAATTTCAGGCTCTTCTGTGAAAGAAGGCCAGTTTTCTCAGCAGAATAGCAACATGAACACCACGTACCTTTACCTTAACAACAGACCAGAGTTGTAGCAGGTCATGCCAAAGATCCAGTGAGCACAGTACCTGCTATCTGACCAGCTCCAAGAGCAGATGCTTAAAGAATAGTATAAGAACAGAGCACAACACAGCAATACTTTTCCAGAATACCCTCCCAGCCTCCAGAGATTCCTCGATCATGCACTCCCTGAGCCAGGCTGTAGCTCTGTATTTAACAGCCTTAACACTTTTCTGTCCCAAATGTATCAGCTTGCTTTTTCAGCTCATGTACGCTTTTAGCATCATCTCACTACACCAAGTCCCTTCCCCACTCCTCCACCTGAAACACATTTTGACTTTACCTTGACTACATCAAAGTTAAAACTGAAGGTTCTTGTTAGAAAACACCTCCTCATGGCAGCGAAAGCACAGCCTGCATGAGCCCTCCTGCAGCTGGGCTGATTACAGGTGCCCAGGCAGCATGAATTCCTCGCAGCCCTGCAAATACAAAAACATCCTATACAGGCCCATAAGGAGCTCTCCAGTCAGCTTTCATTTGCCTGGTTATTTCAGCTAAGCAGCTCGTGTCTATATTAATTTATTTTTATAGGAAATGAATTGGGCAATTTTTTTTTTTTTTTTAAATACTTCATTTAAAAAATAAAAATTAAACAGTTGGCCAGAGACGAGATCCCAATTCCCAAGCTGAGCTGTGCCGGTGT